TGCGATGTATTGGCGAATAGAAAGCGCGCCTCAAAGCGAGTATTGACTGTATTGTGTGATTGACGTCACGATTGAAGTGCGGAAACGGAAGGCGAGTATCGATTGAGTCGAGGATTGCATTCATTTTTGAGTCATTTATTGAGTGAATTGTTTGTATCAATGCTTTCAACGAAACCTTCATTTCATTAAATTATTGTAAATTGAGTTTAGATTTGATTTTTTGTATTCAAATTGTATTGAATTCAGACATTCATCAGTCGTTTGATAGCATTTGTGATACGGAATCGTCACTCGGACTCAATCTCGCAGACAATGTCTTACTATCCGACTTCAGTTCCCAACGGAACCGATACTAACACTCATCACTCGAATGGGAACCACTCGACCACAGCGTCGGCAGCGATGACAGCGGTGGCCGCAGCGGCCGCGGTCTACGGCGCCGCACAGAACGGCATATGTCTTAGGGTTGACCCCAATATGGAGGCGAAGGACTTCTGGCGGAAGTACGACATCACTGTTCACGGAAAGGACGCCCCGTTGCCACTCATGTCAATGCATGCCTTCAAATGGCCGCAACGCATCGCCGAAGCCCTGGAGACGGATCAGTTCACTTCGCCCACTCCCATACAGTGCCAGTCGTGGCCCATCGCTCTCGAGGGCCGGGATCTGGTCGGTGTGGCGCAGACCGGTTCAGGCAAGACGTTGTGCTATGTATTGCCCGCTTTCGTCAAGATCTTGAGGGACAGACCCCAGAGAGGACCCAAGTGTCTGATTCTGGCGCCCACTCGAGAGTTGGCTCAACAGATCCAAGAAGTGGTCCGTCGATATCGTTTCGCGAACAACGTGTGTCTCTATGGCGGCGCTTCCAGAGGGCCGCAGATGAGACAAATCCGCGAAATGAATCCGCAGATCATAATCGCAACGCCCGGCCGTATGATCGACTTCGTGGAGAGCCGTGCGATCGACATCCGGGCCGTCGACTATCTGGTTCTGGACGAAGCGGACCGTATGTTAGACATGGGTTTTGAGCCGCAGCTCAAGAAGATTATCGCTCAGTTGCCACGAGAGCGCCAGACACTGATGTGGTCGGCCACGTGGCCCAAAGAGGTGAAGGCATTGGCCGCGCAGTACATGAAAGACTACGTGCAGATCAATGTCGGCGGCACTGAACTGT